GAAGAGAGGAATGTCTTTGTCTATGTACATATATAGTTCTGACTATTTTTACGGCTCTTATTTGCATGGCTATAAATGATAATCCAGATCACGTCGCCCATTTATCTATCTTCGATGATAGACTATCTATCTGCTAGTATAAGTAGTTCTCTAGCAGTATATTTAGATATTTGTGACATCAATTTTTTTTTATCGCTCCCACATCGAATTAAGGACAGAAGAAGAAAAAAGAAAATAAATCCAGATATAGTTATGCGTACGATGAGATAGATATACTGGTATTTCTAATCATTCAACAGCAAGGTGAGAGGTGCTTCTGTATTCACTTGACCGAGCGAATTAGGGTATCTTTAAATTATAAATGTTCTGTTTTCGGATGGTATTGCCCTCTCTGAGTCAGTTTGTTACTTTGTAAATGTCTCATTATTATTGGACAGAGTAGAAATTTCAACTAAGGAGAGACCTTTATTGAGTGAACATTCGAGAAAAGTCTGCATGAGACAGGCTGAATTGGAGTCAGGTTTTTAATGTTTTAAAAGCTCAAACTTCTTTGAAAACACGCGACGAGTATCCGAAAAGATCGTCCATTCTGATTACAATACACTTTTCGCGACTCCTTGCGTCGAACAGATCTCTTCATTCATAGAACAATAATTTTCCTGAAGCTACTCTAGTGTCACTTTACTGTTTTGTTGAAAATGCAGTTGAATAGCTACCATAAGGCTGTATCATTCCATGTGTTTGAGATCAATTGGCTGTCAAACAAAAAAGGAGTCAAGAAGAGAAGCATGAAGGATTTCAATTTCGCTCAGTGGAAGTCTTGTTAGACTTAAGAGCCATGGTTAGAGGAAGACAGCTGGAATTATGCAAGTCGTGATAGTTGAAGTTTCAAATTAAGCTGAAATTCTTACTATCACGACTTGCATGATGCCAGCTGTCTTCTTCTGACCACGGCTCTTAAGGCAAAGGAAAACGCTTCTCTTTAACCATTTGATTGAGCACTTTCATCAAGTTATCGTTCTCGGTACTGCATTTAACTCGTGTATATTAGTCTTCTTTCTTTCGGATCTGCTTGCACGGCCTGTTTCTTCTGGTCGATTAAAGTGTAAATAAATAAGAAAAGAGGAGAACTTTGACTTTTCTGAAAGTGAACACAATTAGAATATTGCCAAATACTTTGGTTGTTGAGTTAGTAGAAACGAAAAGCTCTTTGCTCATCATACATATAATTAAGGCGCTAGAAAGGCGATCCGTGTAATGTCCAGTAAATTGCCTCGATAAGTCTTCGGATTCCCCTTGTGGAAACAACGGAAGATAATAATGGCAGTAAGACAGAAATGTTATTGCCTGCATCGGGGTTCTAACTTTTTGAAGCATCGATTATATCCAACGAAAAACCTTAACGTCTTAGAATGTTAAAGCACAGATTAGATTTTCTAACGCGTTAAAAAGCTATTGTTTCTGTTTTAAGTCAAAAGTGGCGGATATTTGATGACTCAAGACAAAGACAACTTACACAGTCATGCAAAAGAGTACAGTCACGATACTGGAAATGATTTATTTTGTTCTAGCTTTGTGTAACAGCTTTTTTGACATTTGATCGGATGATTAATCTATTACTAACTACATAGAGTGTATCGTTAGCAAATTAACTAGGTTGAGGTTGTCCCTTTTCGATAAGTCGTACCACGGAAACGTCTGCACTGATAATATTTCGACGGGCGAGAGAGCTGTAGCTCTGTGTGCAAACGTCTCTTCTTCTAAAATATTCAACATAACTCCTCTAATCTGAATGAATGTTGGTACGTTTTTATGAAGAAACTGAACTTCTCAAATGTTTGTCAACAGTCAGATAACCGCACAAATGTCAATATGCCTATTATTTTTGACAGCTGCGATATCAGCAATTGAGTAGTGTTATCTGTTGGATGTGTCATGTCACAAAGATCACATACATATTATCTACTACACTTTTCTGTCAAGATTACAAAGCAAAATTTGTACTAAATGACGACAGAAATCATTAATCACAGTACAGGAGAAAAAAGTAGGAAAAAACAATAGAACAACACTAAATTCGACTCTATTATCATTTGTGAGAGTGACAGTAAGAGAGATCAGGAAAGAAAGCATATATAATGCATAACAATAAAGAAAAGCAAAGGCCAACAGCCAGCATCAGTTACCGATAATTAGGAGGTACCAGTGTGAACAATCAATAATAATAGAATTGGCCGTAGAGAAGAAGAAAAACGAGATGATTTTTTGGCAATTGTCTCTCCCTCGTTTTCTTTGTTCTGTTCATTCTTTTTAAATTCACACATGCTATATCGAGAGTTATATAACATTTAGAAAGACAAATATATAAATATATATATGTGCGTATTTTTTTAAATTTCTAAAAGTGTACAAGTGACAGTTGTTCATACTCGATTCCTCTCATGTTAACAATATCCGATATTAATTATTTTTCATTTTTCTTCCACGCTTACGTCGACAGTAACAATAGTAGCAAATTAATTTTCTTACTAACAATGGCTACACTACATGCATTCAATCGTGAAACAAATTTGGGTTAATAGGACAAATTGTATTTGTTGTGCAATGTGTTGAGATGAATGATATTGTTGTCGTTTTGTGTTCTTTTTAATCATATGGTAAGTTCAGTCGTGAACAATTTATCTAAAGGTAACCAGCAACTTTGCTCGATGAAAAAGAAAAGAATATGAATACTGCTTAATTTGAAATATGTTTGAAATAGTAGACAGCACCTGTCTTTACTTCGGTAATGGCCAACAGGGCAGTTGCATTAAGATAGTAATGAAATGCCGTCAGTATGTGTTCACTAAGATGAGACGTCTCAATACAACTGATAATCATCCTTCCAATCTTACATCTTCTACTAACCGTTTAATGCTGAATTCTTCGATGGACGACCAGTATCTTACTTCCTTAATCGAATGAGATGAAAGTATGTACAGGTAGCGTAATGGATCCAGTTCCTTCTATTGCGGATAGTTAAAATATGAATACTTGTGGTTTTTGTGTTACTAAGTGTTCATTCTAGTTTTAACCTAAGCAGAAGAATTTAGTCAGATTATCCTGTGCCACCCTCATTTTTGGTTTCTTGTTTCCTTGATTTTGTGCACATGAACAAGTAGTCAGTGATAGTGTTTTCTTTTCTATTCGTTACATATCGTATAGCTATATGAACGGTATCGGCTCTTTTTCGTTTATTAATTATTAATTATCTTTACATATTATATTAATGTTATGGTGACACCGTTCAAAACTTTACTACCGTTAAACAAGCACATTTACTTTTTTCGCTTCTTGAAAAGACAGCCTACACATGCTGAGAAAAAGTAGAAAACATTAGTTTATCTCTCTATGTTGTTGGCTGTAAGTTTTAAACTACTCCTTTAGCTATTCAAAAGTCATGCTTGGAGCCCATCTATGACGGCCAACAACTGAATATATCTATAAAAGAAGCAAGAGACAAAAAATGTTTTTGTGCTCTCGAGATGGTTTATTTTTTCTCTGTGTGTTAATTCAATAAACATGGGCTCATTTTTTCGTGTTTCGTTTTTAAAAAAATTAAAATGGCGACGAAATGACTGTGTATGGATAACTTTTCTATAGTGGAATAAGTTTTCTCTTCTATAGTGATGATAAAAAAATTTATTTATCTAGCTGGAAGAAAATGAATGAATAAACCAACACGTAAATAATTTTCTTCTCGCATAATTATTAGAACGGGAAAAGACACTTATTTATTTTTGGTATTCGATATACGTTGGTTGACCATAAGAATAGTAATTACTTACGTGCTGAAATCGCCTATAGTCTAAAAATAGAATTATATAGATTTTGTGAATTTATTTAATAAAGAAGCGTGCTACTAACAGTTTCAAAATCGTAATTGGATTGCTCGCTACCACAAACAAAAAATACTTTTCGAACAATTATAAAAAATTTGTTTATGTTTAGGAAAAAGTTAATTTTTGCGGTTTCTCTATGATTACTTAAACAAGTCAAATGATAAACTAAAATTCTTGATTTTAGCCTCCTTAATTCTCTTGTCACATGGAGAGACAAATATACTTGGGATTCATGTGGAATATCGTTGTGGTAAAAGCACACAGCACAACAAAAATAAATAGCAGGTTAGATAGATATCTATTTTTGTCACGTTGTTGTTGTTTTTTCGACTTACTAGTATGTTTGTTACTTTATTTGATGCAAAATATTCTGTACTCTGCGAACAATATATTGTCTGAAACGTTTGGACTACACATGTTTCTGTGATCGATTTATTACATCACACTAAACATTTTTGAGTAAGAAATCTACTAAGTAAATATGGGTACAGATTTTAAAAGACTTTCTACGAGCTTTAGAAATATTAGAAGGTAACTTAAACGGATTTGAAATACGAGATATTTCTGGTTTCGGACATTTGCTGATTTGAGCAAAGCCAAAAACCAAATGCACTTGTAATCATAATCAAAGTGCAAAATCATGAAATCAGACTAGCATTTTTTCTAAACATGAATTCCTTCCTTTCGGTCGTTTGAAAAAGAGGCCTTTGAGAGTGGACTCCTATTTTACACATGTGAAGAGACGAATGAGATGTGGAAAGTGATTTGAGTCGTCTTCTGAATAACACATCCATTTTTGGAAGAACTCAATATCACGAAGTTTAGTAACTTTTCCATATCCCTAATATTTATCATATATCCAGATTAACTCTAACAAAATTCTTTTCTCATAATCGTCGCGTTTTTCTACTCTTAATTAATTTTAGAATTGTAGCAGATGTTTTTTAATACTACAGGCGGCTTCTACTGTAGTTAATGTTGCGTTGTTGTATTTACACTCAATGTCCCATACCCTTGATTTTAAATACCAGTTTTCTGATACCTATTTGTTGTAGCGTTTAGACAACGAAATATTTTCAACCATACTAGTCATAAAGTTATTGTGTTATTTTCGCCCACATGGTTCTTGCGTTTACAAAATTAAACAGCATTATTATTCAGAAATCCACAAAGGAGAATCAGTGGAAAGTATCTATAACAACAGCAACACCTTCATTGAGCAGTTTTAATTTAACATTGTTAACTCTTCTACAACTTATCAGTAGTACACATTCTGTGGCAACAACCGTAGCTCCAACATTTACTCAAAGAAAATTATTTGTTAATGAAACATCATGGCCGACAGCAACCAACGTTTGCATATCACAAGTAATCGATCAAAGGTTAATCTATTATTCGTTACCCTACCGTATTCTGGCCGGTCTATTAATTGTACCCATAGTAATTTGTGCCATCGGTGGAAATATACTTGTAATCTATGTCATTAAACATTTTCGATCATTAAGAATAACGGGTATGTACAAGTCCAGAAAAACGGTTTAAACCTAATAAGATCTTGTGTTTTAGGTAATGTATTTTTGGCATCTTTGGCATTTGCTGATGTTGGTGTTAGTACAACGGCTATGACATTCTATGGTTTACAGTTGCTAACGGGTAAATGGTTATTAGGTGCATTTATGTGTCGTCTATGGTTCTCGTGCGATGTCCTATTTTCAACGGCATCCATTAATCATTTAACATGTATATCGTTAGATCGTTATTTGTCAATTGTAAGACCATTTGAACATGAACGACGTTCAAGTGAAAGACGACGTTATTTAATGATTGCTTTATGTTGGATATTATCGTGTTTACTATCGTTTATACCTATATTTACGGGTATTTATACATCACGTAAACAAATACACGAAATCAATTGTCTAAATGAAGTGACTGGACGATGCTTATTTATTGTTAACCAAATTTATGCTATTGTTTCGTCGTGTGTCTCATTTTGGGTACCCGGTGCTGTAATGGTAGCCATGTACGTCATGCTGATAAGAATTGCTGATGCGAAAGAACGTGAAGTGTTCCACATGAATGTTGCCCATAGACAACGAGCATCCAACGCAAACGCTATCACATTTATGAGGCGTTTAAGTGACGATCATAATGCAGGTGTACGTTCAAGTCTTATTGATATTCAAACACCGCGAAATCAATTAGAAACGAACAGCAATAATAATCATACTACGAATGATCGTCCCATTGTTCATAAGGAATCAACGTCACAAAATATGAGACATCAACAACAACAAAGAGACAAAGATTCTGGTCGCGGTACATCAAATGGTGAACGTCGATCCATTGATATTGATGGTAGCATTTTGGAGCCAAGAAATAGTCAAGTGCAACATTTGAAGCGTGAACGTCGTGCAGTAAAGACATTGGGTGCAATTATGATTGCATTTATTGTTTGTTGGTTACCATTTTTTATACGCTATTCAGCATGTGAACCAAATCACTGTCGATGGAAATATATGCCAATCGTTGAAGACCTCGTATTTTGGATTGGCTATTTTAACTCATGTATTAATCCGTTTCTCTATGCATTTCATAATAAAGATTTTCGATTTGCATTTCGGAAAACATTAAAACCACTATTTTCATTTTGTTTTGCATGCTGCAGTGAAAGACGTCACAGCATAAACAGTGTAACTTGAATAGCGATTGTTGCGAAAAGCGGTGGTGGTTATGCTACTGATAGTTCTTTTCTATGAAAAAAGAAAAATGTTAAAAATAATTTATTAACAAATCATGCACATTCAAACAGTAATTCAAATAATTTGAACGGTGCTGGGGAAAATAGTATTTCATCCAAATGGAATTTTTGTATGTTGTTGTTCTTGTTTTATAATTGCAATGTTTAGTGCCTTTTATTGTATTTTCGCTTTTTAAAATCAAAACTGTGATTTCTCTTGATCGAAAACTGTTTAAATGTCCTAAATTTTGTACGTGTTTTTATGTTACTCTGTTTTTATCTCGTAACTTTTGTTGCTTGAAGCCCGGTGAATAATTATTATTTTTTCAGAAAAAGATAAACTGTACAAAAATAAAATAAATTAGCTTTAGTATGCTTCCATGACAGTTCATAAAGCTGATTCAAAAGATTTGTTTTATTATGAATATAAGGTAGAAAACCATTTACGCACTTGCGAGATCTACATCCTTGAAATAGAATTGAAATATAGATTATTCAGTTAACAATGATTAAAACGCGTGGAAAATGCTGCCTCCAGTCATCTGCGTCTATCACTCTAAGACATATTATCGGTCCTTGCATACTATGTTGCAACCCCCCAATGTAAATAACGGATTTTATTTATGATGGTCAATTTTCAAATTATTTTTTCTTGGGATATGGACAAATAGAACACCATATTGTTTTGCTTCCTTAATATTCCTTTCAGTA